TCACATATATTCTCACGCTTATCTTTATTTATTTATTTATTTTTTTGATTATTACAGGTTATTTGTTTGTCTCTTCAGAAGTTTATTACTCGCGTAAAGCAACAATGATAGTCGCAGTAACAGTCAGGTACTAATTGATAGCAAATATCAGGATAAATACAAGGCAAAAGAAAAATGGTTTGGTAACTACGAGAAAACACCTTCGGTGCTTTGCAGTGACAGAGGAGAGCGCAAATAAAATTGTTTTGAGATTCAAAACGCAACGTTCTGGTTTTTGTCTTTTTCTGTATATTACTTGGTGTTGAATCAATTTTAGGGTTGAGAGCCTTTTGCAGGCAGTATATGGACTACTGCAACCTCGCTGTTGCAGTTTCTGCTGCTGTTGTTGCTGCTGCGGCTGTCGCAGTTGCTGTTACTACTGCTGCTGCTGTTGTTCTTGCTGTTGCTGCTTGATATCGACAAGAGGCGTGTTTAGACCTATAGATATATGAGAAAAAAATGTGTATATATGCTCCATTCTATGGTAGTTCACACGCTTTCTTCACTTCATATCTTAGAATTTTTTATGTTTTACTGATTATTAAGAGTCCGAAAAGGAATTTAAGGAACCGAAGAGAAAACCTGGAAAAGTGAAACTTTCAGCAAGTCATGCCCACAAAGTTGCAAAATTTGCCGGGTTGCTGCTAGACACATCTGAGCTGTCCAGATTGTAATTGTAATCCTTAACAGGATTTAGTGATTTTTTGGTTTGTTAGATCTTCCCTTTATCTCTAATTTTGGAAAGTTTAACCATTTGATTTTGTTAGATATCGAGTGAGTACAGCAAAAGCAAAAACTCCAAAGCAAAGAAAAAAAAACAATTCAAAATCTTCAAAAAACACGAGATTTATATTAATTTTTTATTTTTCAAAACCAAGATCTGGCGATGTCGATTCTCTGGAGTCAGGTGTTAAACATTAAAAAGTGAAACTAGTCTGATAAAAATTTATTGTTATATAGTAGTTGTTTGTTATTTACAGTGGCAGAATTAGCGTCAGCTAAAAAATCTGCTTCTGAAGGCTGAAACAAATGTTTGTCAGTATTCAGTGTATTTCAAGTGTCGAAGATATACATGAAGAAATTTTACTCTACACGAAAATATTAGCAAATTATTAATGTAAAGACCTGTAGCAGACAAATGGTTCATGAATTTTTGTTTAACTGTAACAACTAAAGGAGGATATTCTTTAGGAAACTCTCTCCTGACATCGGCATAGTAACAAAATCTAATCATTTGGGGAACATGTGCAAATTTTTTTGCAATAAAGAATTTTATTTCTCTTTATAGTCGAATAACGAAAGTGACATAGAAAATTCCAGCGTTGCTGCATAGAAATAGAGGTATTAAAATTTGGAAAGGATTAAGTAACCTATTGTTTTAGTATTTTGAATATTGGATCAGGTTTCCTTTGAATCTGTGACGGGCTGTCCAGTCTAAGATATTGGAGCAGGAAGGGTGGTGTAAGAAAGTTGACTTTAGTTTTTATTTGCTCGGAGAACCTAAACTGGTGATATCGCGGAGGTGGTTCTTGTAACCGAGAAGAATTACAAACCACTCTGAACCTTTGTATCTGGCTTAAAAAGCCAAGATCGGAAATTTTTCGATACTGCAAACTGTGAATGTTTTTTCATAGAATATGATTTGCTGAGACAAATTTTCAACGGTGTAAACACTTTGGATAAGCATTATGGTTTGTCTTGACTTCCAAAGGCAGAATATGCTTCTGACGATGTTCTCGCCACTCCGCGATTACTAGAAAACAGTGAATTTTTATTACTGTTGTCTTACTTCTCAGTTTCTAACTTCTGACTTTGATAAAACGACATTATCAACTTTTGACTTTATACAGAGCAAAATTTTTTTCAAGATTTGAAATGACTTTTTGTATCTGATTTCGAAGCCTTTCTTTTGTTCTGATCAACAGACTGTATAACGGAATTAAATGAATTAAGACTTCGTCAAAAGAGAGGGAGCGCGGAATTTAATATATAGAATTAATTAAATTTAATTATTGCCATGATGAACTACAATTTCGGAAATAAAGTCATGCTGAGCAACAACTGTAAATTTCAGGACTTTATGGAAGAAATAATTTGGTGGGAAATCCACCTTTCTTGGTTTTCTATCCAATTTTTTTTTTGAATCCGGACCCAAACGTTGCTGATCGGCAAAGTTCAAGAAGAATTGTGGAATATCAAGTGAAATAAGCGTGGAAATTGTCATTAAACTGCTCCTACATATTTATATTCACACGAAAAAATCTTATGTGCGTTTCCTTTTTGTTAAAGGGACACTTAGCAAAATAACGATATTAAAAGTACTAATTTTAGGCTTTAATCGTTATTATAATTACTTTGAATTACTGGACTTTTAGAGGATAATCGTAATTGAGATACTCGGAGCATTATTACTGCTGGTTTTTGAGGTTTATAAAGAAAAATAAAACGCATAATTCCAAATTGAACGAAACATTGGTGTCAGAGGGAGGAAAGGGATGACGAAAAACGTGGACATTCAGTTGTATCAGTAGTTCATTTAGCAAATCTTTAACACCCGAATGCTGCGGTTTTTTTTACTTTTCACAGTATAAACGGTCGGCACAAATTGACACGTTGATAAAAATATTTCAAAATTTGAACACATGCGAACTATTTTCGCCGTAAACAACTGTTGCCTGAACAGAAGACTGCCAATCATTCCTGCAGTTGTTTTGAAATTATGGATGGTCAAGTCAGATCAGTCTAAATATAGACGTTGTGATTAAACATCGCTGTATACCAAAATGTATTAATCTTGCTTAAGTTTTCTAAAAACTGTTAAAGATGGCAGGAACAAAAATAACCGCTGAGCAGAGATAAGCACTGAAATTTTTACTGTCTATCTGTTACAGTCCAAGTTTAATTGTAGGTAACCAAAGTAGGACAAATTTGTTTGAACAGTAATTTAAAATATTTTTGGGCCTGGGCAAGTGCGAACGTCTACTGAAATGTAAAAATTGCAAATTTGTTCTATGGTTGCTGATATATTGCAGTTTAAAAGCAAGAAGAGGACAGAAAAGAAACATGTTTGTCTGAAAATTAAGAAGTTATTTGTAGAATTGAAGGGACAAAACGTGGGAAGGAAAGGACGAAAATGGGTCCGGGGAGGAAGTAGAGAAGGACTAAAAGAAGAAAGGAATTAAAAATGCAATTATTTTTTTCACTTTTATTCGTCTAACAATATCACTCATCACCTCTTACATCAGTTTCGTTAAATCATTTAAACTGCAAACTATATAGCAGTTGAATAGTGCTGCTTTTTGGTGACTTAATTCTCCTTTTATGACGCGTAGGCGATAAGACAGTTAGAATAAAAAAAAATAATTCTTTTTTTTATTTTTTGGATAATCAAATGGGTTTTTTGAAAACTGAAGGTCCCGGGTAGGAGAACAATAGAAAAGCATTAAAAAGTGTCTGTTTTTCAGCACTGATAGGCATGACTGTTGCTGCTGCAGTCGTTAATCAGTAAAATACCGCTGGAACAGATTCCTCTTGAGATTTTGCTCATAGTTTTATTCATTTCTAAGGCAACCTTCAATCAACCGTTTCTATTCATTCGTCTATCTGTCTGGTCAATGGGAAGTGAATATGTTTCTTTTTATATTTTCTGGCTTTTTTCTTCATTAATTGGGGCGAAAGATATAGAGAAGTAGATGGTCTAAGTTATGACTAACAGTTTTAGTTGGCTTTAATAAAACAGAAAAAAACAAAAATTTTTTTAGTTTTTTTTTCTACATCATATCTAATTAAAAAAAATTTTTTTTTTCAATTCTGATTTCTTAACTTATTATTTTACGAGCAAGTTTACTGCTATTGCAACAACGACAACAGCAGCAATAGCAGTTGCAGCCGGTGGTTAGAGAATTTCCATTCACAAAACTAGTGGATGCTATTCTTAATTAAAATTGACTTTTATAGCAGATTTTGTTTTCGTATTTTTTTTCCTCTGTTAAGATTTTCAGTCATCTATGACATTTCATGGAGGAGAAGAATAAAAAGAAAGACTATTGAAGAAAAGCTTAAGATTATTCTTTTTTTTTTTCTATTAGAAGACCAAAAAAAAAGCTCAGAGTTTTTTCACCTACTTTACTTTGCAAGTAAATTTGAGATGCTGAAAGCAAATTTTTTTGCTTCCAACATATTCACTACTTCTATTTTTTTATTTGATCACTTTTTAGTTCTTTATCAAGTCTTTTGATTTTCCATACTTTTTTTATTGTTGTTGTTGTTGTTGTTGTTGTTGTTGTTGT